GGCAACAAATGTGCATATGTGCTTGACACAATGGATGTATGTATGGATTGTGATGAGAATTGTACCAGCCCCCAATAAAATAATTAAAAAAAAGAAAAGATTCACAGCCTTCAAACCCCTCTGGGCCAGTTCTACTCAGTCCAATTAGGCTGCTATGAGTTACAATAGGCTCAATGAGTTGGGTATGGAGATGATTCACAATATAAAACCCATTAATTACAAAAAAAAAAGAGGTAGCTGTGCCAACAGAACAAGGGAAGGCTGCATGGTTATAAATCAAGAACGGTGTGTGTCAGAGCTCTATCTCCTCGTCATACTTATTCAATCGGTATGCTGAGTAAGTAATCCGAGAAGCTGGATTATATGAAGAAGAATATGGTATCAGAATTGGGGGAAGGCTTAAGAATAATCTTCTCTTCAGGAGAGAAAGTCCCTGGAAAAGGACTAGTAAAAGAGCCTTGGAGGCTTGCTTGGTAAAGGAACCTTGGAAGCATAGTGGCTATGTATGTATGTTGGGCTGTAAGGCCAGTAGTTTGAAACTACTAACCACTCTGTGGGAGAAAGATGAGGCTTTCTACTTCCTTAAAGAGTTACAATCTCAGAAACCCACAGGGATGGTTCTACCCTATGAGTCAGAGTCAGCTACAGGCCACTGAGCTGGTAAAGTAGAGGGACAGCAAAAAAAAGAGGCAGAGCCTCGAGATGGGTTGACACAGTGGCTGCAACAAGGGCCTCAAACAGAACAGTAATTGTGAGGATGGCACCTGACCGGGGCCGGTGTGTGTGTGTGTGTGTGTGTGTGTGTGGTATTTTGTTTTGGTGTTCATAGGCTGCATTGCATCAGAACCAAAACTAATGATGTGTTGTTCGGTACCATTGAGCCGGCTTCCACTCATAGCAGCCTTATGCTCCACAGACCGAAACCCCTTGCATCCTGCACCTCGGATGCAGCCACTGTGTCAATCCATCTCGTTGCGGGTCTCCCTTTCGCTGCAAATGAGCCCAACAGAACACATGGAACGGACTTTGGAAAGCTTAGCATTCATATAGCTCTCTCACTCATTGCTCCTGTTCTCTCTGGAGGATTCTCGGTGGAAAATTATCTGCTAATGTGCTTCTAATATTCTTTGTCTTTTCTGGACCCTGCCTTTACTTACTCTTTTTTCCCCCTGCTTACTCTTTTTCTCTTGCGTGAAATGCTCTTCCTTTTCTTTGAGAGCGCCTCATGCCTACTCACCTTTTGTACCTTTTCGCCTCTTGCTTCTTCCATGAACACTTCTCTCATCACTACAATCTTGTAGAGCAATGGTTCTCTACCTTCCGAATGCCACAACCCTTTCATACAGTTCCTCATGTTGTGATGACCCCCCAG